TGAGCATTTGCTGTCGACTCGGCCACAGTAAGTTGTTTTCGGCCCCTGGAGCCGAACTGGATGCACAGACACATGTGCATCTATTCTATATATATATATATACGAGTGTATATATGTGTACGAATAAATGTTCACATATGTGTTCTGGCTTCGGCCCCGCAGTTTGGAGATGCTCAAGGTACTGTCATCCTCTTTCCTCTCTCGCACGACCCAACATACAGAGACTCGAAAAGATGTAGTCTGAGCATTTGCTTGCGAGTCGGCCACAGGAAGTTGTTTTCGGCCCCTGGAGCCGTCGAGGGAACAGCTCGGTGCTAAGGGGTCGAGGGGATCCGGGCCCGCAGGCTCGAAAATTGTTGTTCCCCACATCAGGCTCGAACATGTCCGCTTGAACGGTATGCTTAACAGCTCTGCAGTTTCTCGTTACCTCAAGTTATTATGACAAACTTGAGAGCACATACTCATAGTGTCAACATGAAGGTGGTTCCGGGAAGTGAACCGACAGTAGATTTACAGCTAGTGGCCTGACCTGCTCTCCAATCAGGCGTCCTATGCTACAATTCAGCTCAAAAGTTCGCTTTCTCGAAATGAGTTGTCAAATATTCAGAGAACCGAGCCCGAGTTGCCAATTTGTCTCTTCTGGTCGGGTCGGTCACCTAGCTCCACTCTGCACCCGAACCGGGCGCCGAGGGTGACCCGCCAGGCTGGCGAATTGGGGACCTCGGAGAGCTCTCCGCCACTTGTCATGGCCATCGCGAAAGAGGCCGGGTCTCAATAGAGAGAGCTCTGCAGCGCCTCCGCATCTTGACATTCAGCAGAGGGGCCGCGCAACCTTGCAGAGAACTTGCACTGTGAAGTTGGCCGTCCTGCCATTCCTCGGAGAGCCGACCGAACTCCAGTCTTTGGGGCGGCGAAGGCCGAAGCGACCCGGCGTGCCCGCGCGCGCGAACAGGCAACGCTCTGGAGAGAAAGCGGCGATATATTAGGATTGAGGATAGCTCGAGCAGGGAACCGATCTCAGTGTCTCAGGGCTTCAGACTAGTGCTTTCGACGCCGCTGAATAGTTTGCTGCGCTCGAGAGCTCTGTAGTGGTTTTGCGCGCCGCAGCGGAGCAGATGACGAGTGAGACTATTCGTTCGGTCGTAGTTCGTATAACAGACCCGATCCAGATCTCAGGGAGTGGACGGGCGAAGCTACTGGCCGTACCCACGTGCGCGAACGAGCATCAATCATTCTGAACCTCGAGGTCTCGTTCAGAACAATTCGACAGCGCAAAAGCAGCTTCATGCTGATACTTGTTTTCTTGAAGATGGCTCGAGGAGTAAAGCAATGTCAGGTCTCTCGAGGCTGAAGACTAATGCGTCCGATGCCGCTGATTTGTTCGCCGCACTCGAGAGCCCTGCGTCGGCTCTACATTCCGATGCACGGCAGAAGGGCCGCCCAACGCAGCAGAGCAGTTGCAGAGAAAGACTGGTATTGCCCGGGCTCGAGTACCAGACCGAACTCAGCTACCTGGGCGGCCCAGGGCGAAATTACGGGTCTTACCCGCGTGCGCAAACAGGCAGAGCCTTGAGCTCGCGAGTCGGGATTTTGGTCAACAACTCTTCGACATCGCAGGAGCGGTTCCGTATTGGTATCAGTTCTTCGCCGGTAATCAAAGTTGAACCCGTATCAGGTTTCTCGAGGCTGCAGACAAGTGTTTTCGATGCTGCTGCATGTTTTCCTGCATTCGAGGACTCCCCGTCGGCTCCACATCCCGCAACTCAGCAGCAGGACCGCCCAACGCAGCAGAGCAGCTGCACAGTAAGGTTGGCCGTTTTCGGTCACACCTCAAACAGCAGACTGAACTCCGGTCTCTCGGGAGGGGGAGAGCGAAGCTACTTGCCGTACCCTCGTGCACGATAAGGCAGAGCTCTGAGTTCACCCTAGATCTCGAGATTTCGGTGAAACGCTCTTCGACAGCCCTGACCCAGTTGCATCTGAGAGCTCGCGTTTCGAAGATAGCTCGAAGTGTGAAAACAGATCTAAGCTCGACAATCGGAAGCAAGCGGTGTCCGAGCTTCAATCAGAAAGCATTGGCTGGCTCCCAGCTTCCGTACAGTTCTGAACATTACCGACGCATCGCATCATACGGCTCAAGTGACATATGTCTCGTTTAGGATTAGTATCTCGATGCAGTTCGCTGTCAGTCATCAGGCGAAGTCATTCGAATGCACGATATTCCTCCCGATGCAATGGCGTTCTTGAAAGCTCTGACGCTGTAGCTCCAGTTATGGTGAGCAAATCGGCAGCAACTCCGAAAGTGCCCACATGAAGCCATATTTGGGAAGTGAGCCAGTAGTAAAACTGCCGCTGGAAGCCTGAGCTGCTGTCAAGACACGCGTCATACATCCCGGAAATCTGGGTTTCCAATATGGAGTGTCAAGTCTTCGCCACATTTTTAAGAGCACCTGAGCCCAGGTTGGGTCGGTCAACTAGCTCCACCCTGCACCCGAATTCCTTCCAACGCATCGAGCCGAACAGCTCTACGACATATTCCTCCTAGCTCATCGAACCGAAGAGCTCTACGAGGTCAACCGTTGGGGCGAGCTCTGGAAACTACTCGAAGGAGCTCCCGAAGGACTTCTGGAGAGCTTTCGGACACACGCATTGGGAAACGGACAGGGCCTCCCGGGACATATAGTACAAGCTCAAGCAAGGCGCAGCGAGAATTCTGGACGGCGTCCTGGAACGAGCTCCGGGGCCACCCTGCGGTGCTGGCTTCCGATCTGAAGCCCTCTGAGCTCCCAACGAGCTGCCCCGGCAGAAAGCAGTGTCAGGGTAGCTTTGGCATCGCTCGGACGTGTGCATGTTTCCTTCGGCGAGGACCGTCGAGGAGGATCCTTGATCATTTGGCGAAAGAACCACGCACGAAACCGAAAAAAACACAGGGAATGGACGTCCGAGCGATGGCGAGTAGCAGTCAATCGCCTGCGGGAGAGGATTGCAAGGACGCTGGGAAGGACGCCTGGCGAGTTTGCAAGCTCAGGCAAGGGAGCTGCGCAGGAGCTTCCAACGAGCTTCGAGACAGCTGCGGAGAGAGCTGCAGAAAAGTTTCGGGCACGCGTATTGGGAACGAATCGCAAAACGCTTGCCGGAACACGCTGCGAATTCAAGCAAATCGCTGCGGAGATGTCTGCCCGGGAGCCTTGGAGATGGACTTGCCTAGGCTGTGTTGCCGGCTTCTACTCAGAAGCCTTCGTAGCTCTCAGAGAGACATCCAGGCAGGAGCCCCTTCGTTCCTCACACGGCGTTCCTCATGGCAGCACGGTGCTTGTAGGCGTTTGGAGGGTTTCCGATTCCAGAAGCTTCTGGTTAGGGTACGGGGGGAGGTCGGGACCACCTCCATTAATTACCAGCCTGGAACTTATACCTATCCCTATGCTGGACACCTCCTCATCACGATGCCAATCTTACTGATTCCCTTATCTTTTGAGGGCGAATCCCTAAGATTGTCATCGCCTTTTTGCGTGTCAATCGTAAGGATAGGGATACGTTCGAGGCTGGTAACTCCAGTGGCACCACCGTTCAGCTCCGCACAAAAGGCACGACGAGCGTTGAGGCCCTATAGTCTGGTTCCCGGGGCCATCGCGGCTCGACCAGGCTCAAAAGACGTCGGGCCGAGGAAGAGTTACATCGGGGGAGGAGGAGGAGGAGGAGGAGGAGGAGGAGGAGGAGGAGGAGGAGGAGGAGGAGGAGGAGGAGGAGGGGAAGGAGGAGGAGGAGGAGGAAAAGGAGGAGGAGGAGGAGGAGGAGGAGGAGAAGGAGGAGGAGGAGGAGGAGGAGGAAGAGGAGGCCGGGGAGGAGGAAGAGGAGGAGATTGCCCCTCCTCTTCCTCCTCCGGCCCGTTGCAGCCCCTCGACGCCGGCGCTCCTGCTCCCCCGCCCGCGCTGCAGTTCTTCTGGCCCAGGTTGGAAGCTCCTCAGACCCGATCCCTGAGCCACCTCACCGCTCTACACGAAATCGGGGGTGGACAGAACCCCCAACAGTGACACGTCGATTAGTGAATTGTCCGTTTCCGGTTCTCGAGAGGGCGCCGTGGCCGTTATTTTCCAGGCTTGCGCCCGCCAGGTTTGGGCCTCAGGTCGTTTTCACTAAACCACGTTTTACTACAGCGGGGTCTGTCCATCCCCGACGAAAGTTCTCGTGTCCTCCATGATGCCCCTCGGCCGCGCGGGCGTCCTGCTGCTGCTCGGGGCCCCGACTTCCGCCGCGCTGTCCCTGGAGGCCCGCGCGGGCTGCGCCGCGCTCCCGCTGGACTCCCGGGGGGGGGGGCTCCTCCTCCTCCTCCTCCTCCTCCTCCTCCTCCTCCTCCTCCTCCTCCTCCTCCTCCTCCTCCTCCCTCCTCCTCCTCCTCCCCCTCCTCATCCTCCTCCTCCTCCTCCTCCTCCTCCCCGTCCTCATCCTCCTCCTCCTCCCCCCTTCCCTCCTCCCCCCTCCTCCTCCTCCTCCTCCTCCTCCTCCTCCTCCTCCTCCTCCTCGGGGCAGCGCAGCAGTGACGGTGCCGCCCGCGGGGGCCCGCCAGCGGGCTGGTCCTTCGCGCACCGCGCGGACACCCCAGGCGACCCGCGGGTGGCGCGGAGATGACCTCGCGGAGGACAACCGATGGGAATGGAGCGTGCTGCCGAGCAGCTTCCGGAGGTTGAAGCCTGGGTTGAACATGTCAGCAACATGTGTTCAACATGGAGTCAACATGTGCTCAACATGTGTTCTCATGATCAACGCCCCTTGCCCTGGCATCCACAAAGACAACCTGGCTTCGCGCGTCGCGGTCCTGACCCGAGCGGCCGCCCATCTCCGAGGGGTGGCGCGGGGGCGCGAGGGCGCGAAGAGAGGTGCGCGTCGCTCATCGCGGGGTGCGATTTCGCGAAGTCACGTGTCTGGGGAATTGTTGGTGGACACCGATGATGGGTTTCTCTCGGCGGCGTGTCTTTGACGCTGTCCCTGGCCCCTCCCTCCAGGACTTCCCTGCCTTTGTCGAAAAGCACGGCCGCTCCTACTCGGCCGGCACGGAGGAGTACAGCATGCGCCAGGCGGTGTTCGACCGGCGCACGGCGCGGATCGCGAGTCACAACTGCAACCCGGCAGCGCTCCACACGGCCGAGATCAACCACCTCACCGATTGGACCCCGGAGGAGCTCGCCACGCTGAGGGGCCACAGGTCCGAGGAGTAGAAGTGACCGATGCCGCTACCCTTCCCCCGTCGCCACGGGTGGATTCGCTTCGACATTATGTCAGGAGGAGAAAAAAAAACACAGACACAATTAATTGTCGATTCCCAGGAAAAGATGGGAAAGTATGGGAAGTGGGGGGGAAGACAAAAACCAAGAACATATAGGAAAATATGGGGAATCATTCTATTTGTGTGTATTTATTTGTGCGTCCCAGGGCCCCTTCAATTATGGTCATTATGGTCAGAACGCAAGCATGGAGAGGTTCGGGGAGCAGCGGTATGGGAATCGTTCAGCTTTCCCCGGCAGGTCCCGCCGGGCCGCGTCGAGGGCATCGGATCTCAGCGGGTCTCCGTTCCTCCTGGCGAAGCGGCGCAAGGGCAAGAAGGACCAGCCCGCCCCGACCGATTTCTCGTGGGGCCACTTGGCCGCCATCAAGGCCAACAGCAGCGAGCAGGCCCGCGCTTTCATGTCAGTCGTCCAGGGTATGAACCGGGTGAGGTAAGAAATGCGATGCATACCTCCAAGGGGATGCGATCGAAGACGAAGAGGGCGGGTGGCGACGGCTTGGGATATACGTGTTGAGTGGCCCGCGGGCAAAAAAAGAGCGAACGGATCTAAAAATGATAGTTGTTGGTGTTAGTGCTGGTATTATTAGGTGCAGTTTTCTTCTTGCTGTTGCTCGTTCTTAAAGTGATTGTTGTTCTTGAACTATCAGTGCTGGCGCCTGATTATCCTTTATCCCCCCCTCCTGTGACCATTGTGTTTTCTCGATTGAAGTACTTCCCCTAGGGCTCGCACCCTGTTTTGTAGCAGGGAAAGTCACGGGGCTCAAACTGGGCCCCTGGCCCCTGGTTTTCAGCAACAGCGGCTCCCGCCTGATTTTTCTTCACAGTTGATTCCCCAATCGTGCTCTCGTGCGGACCTTCCTTACAATTCATGTACGCATCGCGCTCTCGCATAGGATTTCCTCGCAATTCATTCAGACGATGCGCCCTCGGCGTTCAGGAATCATGATCTTGTTTGGCTTTTCTAGCGATTTACGTGGGAATCGCGCTATCGCCCGAGACTTCCTCGCGCTTCATGCAGGACCCACGCTTCAGCAACCGCCTGCTCGTCGCCTTGGCCCGCCTTCCCGACCTGCCCGCCATGGGTCTGCCCGCCCGATCTGCCAGTCTGGTTCTACCACTTTGTTTTCTGTTCCTTGCCCCCCTCCTGCTGACGTCTATCGTGTTCCATTATTATCCCTCCCCCTTCCACCCGTTCTCTCTTCCCTTGTTGTAGTGGCTGCAGTAAGTGCGCAAGGCAGGTAAGGAACATATACACCCAAGGGGGTATGATCGAAGACGACGAGGGCGGGTGCCGGGGGTTCGGGATAGACATATTGATTGGCACGGGATCAGATAGGAGCGAACAGTCTTAAAATGATTGTTGTTGCTGTTTTTGATTTTCTGGTTAAAAGAATACTGTTGCTCTCCCTCCAGGGTAACGGCTGCATGTTTTCAGTTGAAGTGCTCATCCTGGCGCTCGCATTCTATGTTTTTTTTTTTCACGAGGGAAAACGAAGGGTCACCAGACTGAGGTGATGGCCCCCGAATTAAAGCCACAACGGCTTCCGCCGTATAGTTCTTCACAAGCTATTCCTAAATCGCGCTCTCGCGCGCGACTTCCTCTCACATAACACAGGGATCGCGCTCTCTCGTGGGAATTCCTCGCAATTGACTCAAACGCCGCGCCCTCGACACTCAGGAAGCACGCTCTCGTCATGGATTTCTTGGCAATTTAGTTGGGATTTGTGCTGTCGTTCGAGGAAGACGCACGCTTCAGCAACCCGCCTGCTCGACCTGGCCGCTTGGGCGTTTGTCCCGACCCGCCTGTGAAGGTCCACCCGCCACCATCCGGCCTCTGTTCCCCTGCTTTAGGGGCTTCACGAAATACACGTTGCGGGCAAGAGAGGTACACGCTCCCAATGGTGTGTGATCGAAGACGGAGAGGGCGGGTATCTAGGGTTTGGGACATACGTGTTGGATGGCCTGCGAGAAGATAAACAGATTGTTGTCGTTGCTGTTGTTGCTGTTGCTGTTGTTGTTGCTGTTAGTTTTACTGTTGTTGTTGTTGTTACTGTAGTTGTCAGCTCGTGGCCCAGCTGCGCTGGTTTACCAGGAAGATCTTCCCTGATCAGGAACAGGGTGCGAGCTCCGAGGGGAGCACCTCAATTGAAAGACACAACGTGCACCGGTTATGGGGATCAGCACTGATAGGTCTTCAAGAGTGAGAGCTGAACAGCAGCAGCCTCAACACAGACAATGAGCAGAAGCCGCGCCGCGGGATCCGACCTCGGCCACGCACCCAGGGACGGTGACAGACCGTTTGGCCCCCTCGCTCTGACCATGAAGTTCTCCTACCTCCCGTTTTGTTATCGGGCGCGAGCACGCAACCGTTTTGTTTTTGTTTTCGCGCACGACATTTGGAAACGAAGCGAGTCGATTGAGGATTTCGCCGTTTTCGTTTTTTGCACCGTTTTAAACGAAAACGACGGTTTAAGCACAAACGACGTTCTGCTCGCATCCTGATTCGGCATCCGACTGCAGCGAGGAGGCGTCGAGGCACAGCTGCCAGAGTCTCTCCCTTGCGCCAACCCGCAGAAGCACCACCGTGGTGCCCTCGGGGGTCAAAACCCACGAGTTCCAGAAAGGTGGTTGCACCGGCATGATGTACAAGCGGAGTGGCGCCCGAGCATTTTAGTTCAGGAGGGAAACAAACGCACGAACACAATTAATCTTCGATTCCCTCGAAAACATGGGAACATATGGGAAGTGGGGGGAGACACAAAAACCCAGGAAAAAATTGGACAATCTGCTGTTTGTTTATTTGTGTGTATTTGTTTGTGTGTCCCAGGGCCCCTTCATTAGTGCCAAGCGAACCCAGTCAGCCGTGGAGGACAATTGTTTTTTAAGCTGTGGGGAACCGCCAAGTACAGAGCCCACACGATGTCCAAGAGACCCCTGCGCATCTTGAAGCATGTCCAGTCTGACGAGACAGCGTCGAGAAGATTAGGGGAACAAGCTGTCACATAAACATAAAACTCGAAGGTCTGCGCTGATCTCTCTGATCGGCGCTCGACCCCCTCCCTGGCGCGCGGAGCGCGCCAGGGGCGGCCAGGGGAGGCGCCGCCAGGGGGCCTCAGCGCTGATCCGAGAAATCCGCGCGGACCTCCGAGTTTTTATGTTTATGTCATTGCTTGTTCCCCTAAAGATGGACGTTGCCCTGGCCTGGCTCGGACAGCATCCTTCCCTCTATGGAGTGTGCTCGGGCCTCCTCCGGGGCCCGCGCCGCCACGGCCAGATTCGCCTCGGAATACTGGTAACCACGCGTCCTGGGAGAGGTGCGGGGAGCAGCGCCAGAAGCAAAGGCAGTTCTCCCAAGGCAGGGAGGGAGGGCGGAGGATGAAAGTGAGTCAATCACGTACTCGTGAATTGATCGTGCTCGTTGTCCGAATGGTGCCGCCAGTGAAGTCTCGGACGCCACTGCAGAGCGCGTAGCGGGCTGCACCCTGACTTCGACGCAGCGAAGCAATCACATTGCCAGCCCACGGAGATGCCGGTCGGCCTCGCCTCCGAGCGGCGCCCGTAGGGGCAGAGCACGAACGCACGATGCGGCGCAACGTATCTTTCGCTCTGCCCAGCGTTGCTGCCCGCTGCCTGCGCAGAGAAGTGCCCCAGAGGCCGCAGGAGGCACCCGAGAGTGCGCCGAGGTGCCCCCAGAAGGCCGCAGAAGGCTCACCCATGGCAGATGCCTCCAAGGGGCTAGAAGATCCCCCGATAGTCAGAGCGTGCATTACCTACCCCGCGTTCGCTTCCAGGCAAAACCAAGTCATACCACGCGCCTCCTCGTCAAGCGGCCTGACCAGTACAGGCCGCAGTTTGGCATCGCTTGGTATCTCTTGGAAGCGAGGGTGGTCAAAAGCGAGGTAGGTTTGTTTGCCCCCTAGATAGGCATCAAGATGCCCCCCTGACCCCCAACGGCACAATAACCGTGCACGCAAGCGCAAAATCGACCGCAGAGCGGCGGGCTAGCAGGATGGTTTGCAACTGTGCGCCTTCGTGCTCCCAACAGGTTTCTGAACGCTTCCTGCCGCTCCCTGTTCGTTCAAACAGTTCGGGCTGCGAGCCGGTCAGGCTGCCTCTTGCCCGCCGCTCCCTGCGGCACCGAACCTGTTCGTGAGCATCCAGGTTCATAGCCCTCTGATCGGCTGTTCCTGACGTGCACCCCCCCCCCAAAAAGATCTCGAGGGCACTTGCGGCAGCTGCTGGGCGCACGCTTCCCGGTTGACAATGCAGGCCCGAGCGGAGGTCAAAGGGCTGAAGAACATCGCTTGGTCGACCAACCAGATCACCTCGTGCACGCCGAACCCGAAGCACTGCGGCGGCGAGGGCGGCTGCGAAGGGGCCACCGCCGAGCTCGCGTATGAGTACGTGCTGAACAAGGGCCTGCTGCAGCACGGCGAGTTCCGCGCCATGGCGGGGGACGACCAGCATGCAAAGTGCCCAGAGTCCCTGAAGGTGTCCACGGAAGTGGCTACCAAAGGTATCTTCGGCGCCGACGGCAGCGAGACGCACCGCGGCGCGGCGAAAATGGCTGGATACGCCATTGGCCTCACTGGGTGGACGAAGTTGCCCGAGAACAAGGAGGACGCGATCGTCCGGGAGTTGATGACCAACGGCCCGTTGTACGTTGCGGTCGCTGCTGGGGATGGTTGGTTCGACTACAGCACCGGCGTCATGACGGAGGAATCTTGCGACAGAGACCATATCGTGAATCACGCGGTGGTTCTCTTCGCCTGGGGCGTCAAGCAGAAGACCATCCGCGGACCGGTCAAGTACTGGCAGATCAAGAACTCGTGGGGCCCGCAGTGGGGAGAGCAGGGCACGGGCCGCTTCATCCGGTCGGACCACGAGGAGAAGGAGTGCGGCTGGGACGAGGACCCCCAGTCGGGCTCGGGCTGCGACGGCGGCCCCGAGAGGGTGTGGGTCTGCGGCAGCTGCGGCATTCTCTACGACGCTGTGGCGCCGCACTTCTGAGGAAGCTGGCAGCCGCGCAGTGACTCCTCCCCTCTCGGCCCCCGTTCTGCTCCCCCCTCCCTGTTGCACCCCACTTCCCCCCGCCCGTTGCTCCCCGCCCGTGCACCGATTCCCCCTTGCTCATGCACCCTCTCCCTGGCTAGAGCCAGGGCTGCACACTTATCATGAGGTTTTTCCCAGCCCGTCGACTATGTTGTTCGTCGGCGTTTGGGGTATTCTGTGCTTGCCTCGTGATCAGCGAAGACGTCTCCAGCGAGTCACCGCCGCCCCCTGCTGTGGCGACAGGGGCCTATGTGGTGCACAGTCGGCCGAAAGTCCAGCAATTTAGCGGACTGCGTGTTACCCCAGTCGTCGGGGAAATTGCTGGGGGAATATTGGGCCGTCTTGGGGCTGGTTTGTGGTTCTCCCCTGGGCCTTCTTGAAGGCCTTCTGGAGCCCTCTTGGACCTCTTGTGGTTACTTTGGGTCCCCTTGGGACGCTCTTAGGACGCTTGGCGCCTTCGGAGGCTGTCTTGTTTTGGTGGCCTTTTGGTCCGTCTTGTGACGCCCCCAGGACCGAAAATGAGAAAATCCGAAAGTCACATACCTACCCCATCTAAACTTACCCCAGCGTCGACCCCCAAACATTGAAGTAACCAGTTCAGGAAAGCCAGCCGGTCTCGGAACGCGCCATCCATGACCAGAGACGCATCCCTCATGCTAAAAGCAACACCTTTCACCTTTACCACATGAGCACCAACCCACACATCCGCGCGGAGCGCCGAAAGTTTATGTTTATGCAGTGTTGTTTTCTTTTCTGGTTCCCCGAGTGCTTCAGCAAGACTTTGCGTCTCCCAGGGCTTGGGGGTTCGCTGCGTTGGGGGAAAAACCTCCCAGAGCGCAGGAGGCTTCTGCCGGCTCTGTGGGTCGGTCGGTCGTTGGCCGGGCACCTTGGCCTTCGGCAACTGGCGACTCTCACCTGGATGGCGCCCCTCCCGATGGGCTTGATGTCTCTGCCGGATCTGTGGGCCGTGCTTCTTGTTGTTCCTGTACATGTTGTGTGTAGGTTTGCTATGTTGGCTTCACCGTGTTGTTGATGGAGTACATACACAAAAAGTTGTTGTTGATGCTGTCAATACCTGCATGTATCCGTGCGCCGATTGTTCGAATATGCCTGCTGCTGTTTCTTATCGATGGCGTTGCTCTGACGCTGTTGTTTCTGTAGGTGTGAATGTGTGAATGTGTTGTGGTTGCTGTTTTTTTCGTTATCCGTGTTCCTGTTATACACGTCGTCACTTCCAGGGCATATATCTTGATGTGTCGTGTTTTTTTGCGGTGGCATTCTTCTCGCTCTTATCCTTTAAGTGTGGTTTAGAAACTGGCTTTTCGTACCTAGTCATCAGGATTGCGTTTCCGAAACCTCCGCTCGCTTCTCGGGTGTGATAGTTGTTCAAGTTGTGGTCGGTATACATGTGGCTGCCATTGCTCCCCAAACTTGGTTTATTGTATAGGGCTTGCTACCTGCTTGGCCGGCTTTGCCGGTGCGATTGTTGCTCATGGCGTGGTTTGTGCTCATGCGGCGCTTCTCTTCGTGTCACTGCTGTTGGGTCGTTCCCCAGCAGCGTTTTGGCGTCAGGGGCTCTTTCTTGCCTGGCCACAACCATCGGGCCGGGCGAAAGGGGGGGATTGGGAAAGGGGGGGTTACGAAGTTTGCTGCGTGCAGCTGTTTTCGGCCTCACCGAGGGGCTCATTTCTCGATACATGGGCGTTTCCCGGCGCCGGGAGGCGCCGGGAAAATCAGCCACGTGAGCTGATTCTCAGCCCCCTTTTTGCTATCCCCCCCTTTCGCCCAACCCGAAACCACTGCCGCGTCCCGAGGCCTCTGCCGACTCTGCTGACGTGGTTGCCTTCATGTTCGGGGTCGACGTTGGGGTACTGTCAGTCAGGTTTGACACGCAGCAGAGTCACGCGGGGAGCCTGGGGAGCGCCCAGACTCAGGAGGGGAAACATCACACATATACAGGTCATCGTCGACTCCCAGGAAGATGTGGGAAAATATGGGAAATGGGGGGGAAGACAAAGACCCAGAAAACATAGGAAAAGATGGGGAATCCAGCTGCCCGTGTCTATTTATTTGTGTGTCCCAGGGCCCCTTCACAGACGCGCCCAGGGTTTGTGAGTCTGGGCCCCGCGGCGAGCACCTGCCTGCGAGGTGCAGCGCAGGCGGCCTTGACACTTCGTGCCTCGGGGCACGATGGCGGCTCTCCACCGCACACCTGTTGCACGATGCCGCTGAGGATGGCCCCCCTGTCGGGGCCGACGTTCTGTCTTGCTTGCGCGCAGAGGGCGCGATGCAGACCGGCGGCGCTCGTGAAAAGAGGGGTGCGAATGGACAGGACCGAGGCGACGAGAGGGGGGCGACCCGGCGGACCTCCACCGGAAGCTAGAAACGTCGTGATAAGCATCATGAGGGGGGTGAGTGCTCGTGGCGTTGCCAGCCTGCGCGCTGGCTGGATGCGCCTGCGCCCCCCGTCTTTCCGGCGCGCGGCCCCGTACTGCCAGGTACGCGGGCCCTCCCCACGCGCGTGCAGCACTCGGCCCCCGCTTTGCACACGTGCGAATCCAGCCATATGTCTGCACGAACGAGATGGGCACGGAAAGAATGGGTACGATGCCCAACAGCGGATCTGGTTCATTTTGGAACGGATTCGCTGTCCACGCCGCCGCGGCCTGTGTCCATGTGAGACAGAAGGCCGCCTGCCCAACAGCGGCCGCTGTTGGTTCGGGACAATATTTGCTGTTGGGCATTGTGCCCATTGTTTCCGTGTCCATTTCGGGCTTCCAAAAAATGTGTTTCCAGCCTCTTTTCGCAGACGTGCCGCTTAAGGGATTCCCCGGGGGAGGCGGGCCCAGTGCAGCACTCGGCTCGCGCCGCGCCGGGGCTGCGTCGGCCCCGGCGCGGGCGCGCGGAGGCGGAGCGCTGCCGGCGGGCCAAGAACCCGTCGAGGGCGAGCGGCCTGCGCTGAAGGAGAGCCTCGGGCCGAACGAACGTCAGGAGAGAAAAAAGCACACAGACACAATTCATCGTCGATTCCCAGGAGAATATGGGAAAATATGGGAAGTGGGGGGGGAGACAAAAACTTAGAAAATATAAAAAATATGGGGAATCCTGTAATGTGTGTGTATTTCCCTACCTAGGCTCTGCCTAGAAGGGTTCTTACTCGGAAGCTTAAAGGGTCGGGCAGTGGAACCCGCCCCGGGCGGTTCCCCCAGTATCCGCCCCGCGGTTCCCCCAGTCCCCTGGGAGCTTTAGCTTTAGCTCTAGCTTTAGTCTTAGCTTTAGCTTTAGCTTTAGCTTTAGCTTTAGCTTTAGCTTTAGCTTTAGCTTTAGCTTAGTTTTAACTTCGATTTAGCTTAGCTTCAGCTTAATTTTAGCTTAGATGTAGCTTAGCGTTAGCTCAGCTTTAGCTTAGCTTTAGCTTAGCTTTAGCTTAGCTTTAGCTTAGCTTTAGCTTAGCTTTAGCTTATATTTAGTTCGGACTTAGCTTAGATTTAGCTTAGCGTTAGCTGAGTTTTGGCTTAGCTTTACCTTAGATTTAGCTGAGCTTCAGCTTAGCTTCAGCTTAGCTTCAGCTTAGCTTTAGCTTAGCTTTAGCTTAGCTTTGACTTAGCTGTAGCTTAGCTTTAACTTAGCTTTAGCTTAGCTTCAGCTTAGCTTCAGCTTAGCATCAGCTTATCTTCAGCTTAGCTTCAGCTTAGCTTTAGCTTAGCATCAGTTTAGCTTTAGCTTAGCGTTAGCTCAGTTTTAGCTTAGTTTTAGCTTAGCTTTAACTTAGCTTTAGCGATAGCTTAGCTTTAGCTTAGCCTTAGCTTAGCTTTAGTTTAGATTTAGCTTAGCTTTAACTTAGCTTTAGCTTAGCTTTACAGTTACTACTAATGCTGCTTCCTAGGGGCTCCAACTCCTAGGTAGGGTCGCACTGGGATAACTATATGTGTGTCCCAGGGCCCCTCCAGAAAGAGGGGAATAGGGAAAGGGGGGGGTACGAAATCTGCTGCATGCGGCTGGTGTCGGCCCCACCGAGGGTCCCATTCCTCGACATACATGGCCGCCTCCGGCGCCGGGGGTGCGCTGGGGAGATCAGCCATACGTGAGCTGATTCTCAACCCCCTCCTCTGCTATCCCCCCCCTTCGCCCGGCCCGAGAGCCGCGATCCTTGCAAGCCGCCGTGAAACAAACGGGCCCTGAGCTTAGGTCGGGCGTGTCCTCCTACTGGGGGGATTTTGGACGAAAGAGCAAAACTATCAACAACAATCCAAATCTAAGCAGAAAATGCTCAAAACATCGTCTCCAGATGAATGCTCAGGCTTGAGGACTGAGGCTCAAGGGATTGAGCAAGGGACCTGGGGGAGCCTCTTGGGGGTCGTTTTGGGGCCTCTTGGGGCCTCTTCCTCTGGGGGGCCTTCTGGGGCCTCCTTTGGGCTTCCTGGGGGCCTGTTAGGGGCCTTTGGGGGGCTTCTTGGAGCCTTGGGGCCTCCTAGGAGCGTCTTGGAGCCTCTGGAGAACGTCGTGAAAGGAAAGACTTTGGTTTCGGTTCGAGCTCTCCCTCTTGAGCCTATCCTGGGGCCCTGACGGAGCCCTCTTGGCTGGCTTGGGCGCTGATTGGGCCGTCTTGGCGTTCCCTTGCGCCGTTTTGGGGTCGCCTTGGGAGCCTTTTGAGCCGTCTTGACGCAGTCCCAGGAATTTGTGGGACCGTCGGAAGCGAAGCCCTCCCGCCCCCGAGCACTGCATGGCGCTGGGAATGGCGTCGCCCTCGCCCCCTTCCCTTTGCAGAGCGAACCCCCCCTCCCGTTCCTGCGCACTG